ATTCAAAGTGGCACTCAGACTGTCATTAAACTATTAGCTGACATAGCTGGAGGCAATGCGCTTTAATTGGACTTTATTAAATAAACATTTTTCTCCAAAAAAAACAACCATTTAAAGTATCAGAAACTGAATTTAATAAAAACAATAACAACCGCCACTTGGGTTCCATTGATGAAACCATTTCAACTGTTAAGATTAAAGTCGTTCAAATGACTATGTTTGACAAAATTCCATTTTATACTTACCGTGTAAATTTGGCCTTATTTTGAGTTCACAGATTAAGATTGTACACGATATACAGAATGTTAAAACATTTAAATCCTCGATAAAATAATTGATTTCAGGCAACAAGCCTTTATACCTAGGGATTTTCACATACCAGTTGACAATTGATTAACAATCAATATACAATATTACAAAAACTGATATACATAATTTAAAACAACAGAATATTCAAATTGATATTTTCTAAAATTTCAATTTTTAATTTCAATATATAAAGGGAAAAGCGTGAAACAAAATTAAACGACAATATATCAAAGTGATGCTCACACTTTATATTACAATGGTTTGTCACCCATGAGATTTAAAGATGAAAAGAACAGTCATTGAAGACCCATTATCACAATGAATAATGATCATTTTGTGAGGTGATGAGTTATACAATAGTTCACCATGACCCATGAGAGAAGGGGAAAGTTATTAGTTAATTAATTAATTAATACAAAACTCAATAGTTTTCAAAGTCCCATGAGACGATAAAAATGATATACACAAGTATGCAATATCTCTTATTACCCATGACATACATGTACTAAAACTTTCATAGTCCATGACATGTGATCGCTACCAGAAAATACTGATGAATAATTATAAAAATTCACCATAAGAAATAATGAGTACAATAACTGACTTATAGCCCATGGTATATGATGATGAATTGAAATTACAAATTCCCCATAAGAAATAAATGAGTACAATAACTCTTATAGCCCATGGTATATGATGATGAATTGAATTAAAAAATTCCCCATAAGATATGAAGTACAATAACTCTTATATGCCATGGTATATGATGATGAATTGAAATTACAAATTCCCCATAAGAAATAAATGACTACAATAACTCTTATAAGCCCATGGTATATGATGATGATTTGAAATTAAATTACAAATTTCCCCATAGAAATAAATGAGTTACAAATAACTATTATAGCCCATGGTATTATGATGATGAACAAAATTACCAAATTCCCCATAAATTCTCAGCAATTCCCCATAATGAAATTGAAATGAAAATGAGTACAATAACTCTTATAGCCCATGGTATATGATGATGAATTGAAATTACAAATTCCCCATAAGAAATAAATGAGTACAATAACTCTTATAGCCCATGGTATATGATGATGAATTGAAATTACAAATTCCCCATAAGAAATAAATGAGTACAATAACTCTTATAGCCCATGGTATATGAAGATGAATTAAAATTACAAATTCCCCATAAGAAATTAAATGAGTACAATAACTCTTATAGCCCATGGTATATGAAGATGAACTAAAATTACAAAGTCCCCATAAGCAAATAAATGAGTACAATAACTCTTATAGCCCATGGTATATGATGATGAACTAAAATTACAAATTCCCCATAAGTAAATTAATGAGTACATGAATAACTTCTGTAGCCCATAATATAAATGATAAATGATGGAGTAATGTTATATAATATAAAAATTTCTCACATATAGCCAATTTGCATTCATGAATGATTATTGTGATCAGAAGATTTAGGAATCGGTGCAATATCCAATAGCCAATGATATACTTGGATACTAGGATGAGTTGATAATTAATTAACATAACTTCTCACATGCAGCCAATTTACATGTGACAAAGAGGTTTTAGCAATAGATACAATTATATTTCTGACTGAGATGATGGAGAAATATGGATGATAAATTATTAGACCATGAAATATACATCCAAGATAGACCATGACACAAAGTCATTTAAGAAAAACTGAAATAAATAATAAGTACCGGTAAAATATCAAGCATTATATACCCATGACATAATGGGGATGAATTGAAAATAAATTGCTATGGCCATTAATAAAAGCTAGGCTCATAAATTTCTTTCACAACCATTGACATAATGGGAAATATCTATGGTATCAAAGCATTGAATTGGTAAAGTATTTCTCATAAAACAAGACTGTGAATATTTTAATAAAAGTTATATTACGTTTTATTTGCTTAAATATTATTTTGCCTGTATTAAAAGATAAGTCTGGCTTGTTGTAAACACTACTGTAAAACCTTAGTAACGAGGTAAAAAGTTAAATTTAGGCAAAAATTGAAAATGTTCTCTTTTGGACGTACAATTATGATTCTTATTAAAAGATTAATTTGCAAGCTCCAAAAACTTCAAAGCCAGTTTCAAGTATGTTATTTTATTTTTTGGGGTTGGGTTTTATGTCAAACCAACACAGTTTAAGACAAAGGTAAAGGAAGACCTCAGGCAGTGAATTTTTTTTCAATTTTCAAAACAACCTGTGGCTTTCAAAAGAGGAAAATATAGCGTGATAAAACAGAAATGGAGGAAACCTGAAATCAAATTCCAACAACTGAAAATGTAATTTACCCACACATTTTATATAAATTTTGATTTCAATTCCATTTAACATGCAAGGTACATAGCAGAGGCTATCTATATAGACAGAGTTCTGTATTAGTCAGATGCTGTTAAGTCATAATTCTGGTCAGGAAGAGCATGTGGCATTTTAGGGGAAATGTAAGCATTTTTATGGGAAATTTTACCTATTTTGGGATAGGGGAAACAGCCTTTATTGGGCTGTAAAATACAGTGAAAAAAATCACTGTCAGGTAACACTTCAGTGAATCTTTTCAGGCAAAATCTGAACTGAGTAGAACCACCCATGTTCCATAAGCAATTTAGATAGCTTCCTCGCATGAAAGAATCCAAAGTCCGTTTCGGTGTTTGAACCCACAGCAGTTAGGGCTCACTCAGCCACGGACCTCTTCAAGTGCAATAAGTGTATAAACATGTTACAAGAAAAACTTAACACTTTGGTTTTCTATACAGCATGAATAGAAAATAAATAAATCATAAGTAGGTTTTCTTTCTGCTACTTAATAATGTATGATCAATTGTAAAGCATTTACTAGGTGCCATTCCTAAGCTACAAACTAGACTGGTTAGGTATTGATTTATTTGTCCAGATGAAATTACATAATAAACTGTTGAATCAGACTGTCAATATTAGGGATATGTTATTATAACTAGCTCAGTATTTTTTATGATTGAATAGGAGGCTTATATAAATAGCATAATTGTATTCAATAATCCATTGCTAGGAAAGGCACTTATGGATGGTATCGGAGATAATCATGATCAATTTTCGCAGTGTTTGATTCAAAAGAGTGAAAATGTACAAATTACAATCCATTGATCATATTGTAATAGTTTGATTTAATACTCATAAAAATAATCTTGAGCAAGACTAAGTGTGCTCTCTTCTTAATTTTCATTTCTAATAAAGGCATTATAGATTGAAACCTTAATAATAATGAAACTATTATATTGAAATTCCTTAAACATTCCAAATTAAAAGCTGGGCAAATTGGTTACACAAATTTATCAGGTTATGGGTTAATTTGGGTTAAAACTTCTACAAATAAAAAACACACTCTCTGCCGTCCTTGTACAGACATAATATATAACCTTTCAGTCTTTCATGTGTCATATGGAGTATTAGAGTCATTACATGCCTTTTTCAAGATGTGTTGTTAACCCACTTTACTTTAATCTGTCTTATTCGCTAATAAGAAAACTAACAATTGGATTTAGGATTAAGTTTCAGCTGACATATTGTAAAGAATTAGAAATTGTTTTGACAAATTTTACAGGCCTGTGTTAAACCTATTTTACTTCTGTTATTTATCACAAGACCCAGTGTGTGGTAAACAAAGTTATTGTGCTACTGATTTGTACATTCATGATCATACTGAAACTGTAATACTAATATCCTTTAACACTAGTATGCACATAAGTACATTTTTGAATTGTATCTATTGTCCAACTAATTTCATAGATCTGTAATTTAACATACATGTTTTAATTATAAATGCATAATCCAATAACAAAATTTAGAGACATTATGATAAATTCAAAACCATAGTTGAACGGAAAAAAATCTGTTTATAAATTATTTGGTTAAATAATTATCATACCAGATGAGGATACTGTATAAATAAATTTATAATATTTATTTAAACTTAACACTGCGTAAGTAATATAAACAACACATATAAGTATAAAAGAAAATCAGTGTTATATCTTTGTTGTATACAATAATTGTAACAAAAGATTTAGTCTTTATATATTTACTTAAATGTAACATTGCATATATCTTGGCTGTAATTAAAGCCTTGCATTACTATTTATCTGGCTGTTTGGGATAGAAAGCAAAAACAGACTAAGCTACTACATTTTAACTCAATTTTTTTCCACACCTGGGTAACTAATACATTAATTGGGATCACAGAACCCACCCACGGTATTTCATGGTAATGACTTATGGCATATTTTCATGTGACCAGTGTTCAAATTGACATATTTTATTCATACACTGATGATAAACAACAAAGTTTTTGTACAAAATGTATTAAATCTCTAGATTTTTATGTTTGAAACAGAACAAAACTTTTACAAATTTCTGCAAAAAGCAACAAGAGTCCATTAAATTTGTACATGCATCTAAAACAATCGTCATTTTCTAATTGTTCTTGTTTGTTGGAAATATATAGATCAGTAAGTTTTGAGTTCCATAGATTTATTATGCTCACCATGAAAGACTCACATAATATATTATTCACATTGTTAAATATATTAAGTGTTTAACCTACTGTACAGTACACTTGTTCAATATCCTCAGTATGATACACTTCAATTTCAAGAAAATCTCTACTTACTTTAAGGCTACGAATTTTTCATTATTTAACGCTGCCACATAGCATGCTCCATTTTTAAAATCCTCTAGCCTGGTAACTGGTGTACCAGTTGATGGAGTATAAACATTTCTTACATAACCAGTCTTAGTACTGTCTTTGCTATTGAATTTTCGTGTTAATTCGTCTTTTACACCTTCTAAATTTCTTATTCTGTCTGAAATAACTATTTTGGAAGCCGTTTTCCTGCGATCTCCATTCCGATAAAAATGACAATTTGCACCAACTTTTAAGTTTCTATTCTCTGGGGGAACATAACCACTCGGAGAATGAGCCATGATCCAAGAAATTATCTAGCTCTGGCTAGATAACCAATAACTATTCTTTAAAATTCCAAAATTTCAAAAAATAACACTCTCTTTCACGTTTCTAAGTCCATGTAAACAAATTCGGAACTTTCGTTTACCACCATGATGGGAAGTGCACTCTGGGATTAAATCCAATGACCTTTGACATGCTTTCCCTAGTTACCACGTGTTCGATGTAAACAAACGGATAACCGATAATGATATAAATAATTAGAGCTGTCGTATATATATTCTTTACGGATATCTGGTAGAAGGATGAAAATGTACGCAATATTAGCCGGTTTTTAATAAAGAAATCGATATCTAATGGCCAAATAAGACACGCTTTTAAATATTTGAACCTATTAACGGACATAAATTTTAATCATTTTATATCTAACTTCAAATATGTCTGACGAGTAGTTGAAGAATAATTGGCAAACTTAAAGAAGAAGGAAAAACATTATACTGTTAAAATAAATCAGAAATTGATATAAAATTATAGGAACGTAAAAAGATATTAATGCTGTTGGTAGTGTACGTGGGTGTACGTGGTGGTGCAGGTGGGGGTGGGGTGGGGGGGGGGGGGGGGGGTAATACTCTATAATGTACAGCGTGCTTCTCAATCGCAACTACTCGGCCCTTTCCGTCAGTCTTCGGATAAGGACCTCGAACACAATAGGAATACACATAATCAGGTACGTATATTATACGTACCTGACATAATGGATGCGGTATTTCGGTCTAGTTACGCTAAGAAACTATAACCATGTAAATAAATAGTAATTTAATGCTGGGAGTTGTTGACAAGTTTATTTCCACTATATGTAGTAAAAGTCCACCAAAAATAAGTGAATATACAGGTACAAAAGCAAGCAAACAATACATTATTTATCTATCTATCTATAGCCTTTGCTTAATGAGGGTCCATCCGCTCGTAAGGCCACACAATACAGGTTTTGCTGTGGCATACCCTTTGCAGGATGAGCTTTTTTTTACGGACGCGGACAGTCACGGACAGGTCGCGTAACGACAAAATACCTCAAACGAAATTAAATACTTTATCGATTTCGAAAGAAAATACTAAAAAACTCACCAAAATAGTGTTGGAGAACCCATAAGTTTATGATGCACCAATGACAGATTAAAACAACAACATCTGGTCTTCGGTTGCTAAAGAGATGTTATTCAAAAACCTAACTGGTATTCAATCTTTTTCCTTTTACCTAATTCTTTGATGTTACAACTGGTTTTGGTATTTGAATAAAATTACATCATTTCTACAAATGATTATCCTCTGTTCGCTATACTGTAAGAAAATAGCGTACATGTATATGGATTAACACCGGACACGGACGCGGGTCTCGTATCATTGGAATAGCGGCATAATGAGTTATTTTTGAAGCACAAAGTGGTGTGCTGTATCACTGTCGCCAATGAAATGTAACTTTATATACTAAAGTTAAATTATTTCAAAACAACCAATATATCAACATGTTATTATCAAACATTTAATTTCATAAATATAAATTAAGAATAATTATCAAAAGCAAAATTATTAAAGTTTTATTCATGAAATCTTCTTTATATTGACAAATTCAATCATTAATAGTATACTTGATATGCTGTGTGTAAATTAATTCAAAATGTAACAAATTATAATTTCATGTACTACTAAAAAAGGGAAATAACAATTGTATAAAACAATATTAGAAATCTTCAACTATTCGGGAACTATTTTGCTTGAAAATTAATGCGCCTGTCATTTGACAATCTTTACCCAGTGATCTCCCCTGAATTTTTCGGCGTTAGTGTACATATAAAGGGAAGTAACCGCTTCAAAAAAAAAGCGGACTACTTCCGGCATTTACAATTAACAGCATCAGGGTCTGAAATTTCGCTACCATTATTTGTTTGGTCTGACGACCCAAACAAATAAAAACCAACCTGTTGACATTTAGTCAGATTTGTATAAAGTTGAACATCGGTGGGCATATTTAAATTACAAATTGTTGTCAGACATATTTTCAAGCATAAGAGTACCGGAACAGACATTAGATGTCAAATATATACATTCGTTTTACATTATCACACCTGAAACCACGTGGTAGAACTACTTTCAATCCGTATTGTTTCCGAGGTTATTATAGATAATAGCCGAGGCAGTTCCGAATGCGTGCTTCTACATCTATGTACATCGTACGTCGGCGCAATCACACTTGATTATAACGCGACGGGTGGTGCTAGGTCAAGAAAAAGAAATATACATGAAATGATAGAAAGTTAGAAGAGGTTGGATAGGTCAAAAGAAAGAGATATATAGACAAAAAGTCTGGCCAGCTTCATTTTCGCCTCTTCAGCCCAAACATCTCCGGTTACGGTGGCCGCGGTCGGCACAGCCTTGGGTATTACTAGTGGGTACTTGTAGCTGGGCCCCTAATGACGGATTAGAATGTGAGGGATGATAACCCCTGCTTGAAGGATACCAAGTCAGGGGCCACTGCAACAGGGGCAGGTAGGCTGTTCCAGGCTGTGGCTGTACGAGGGAAGAAGGAGTTCTTGTAGTACGATGTAGATGTGGATGGTTGATGGAACTTCTTGGAGTGGTCACTTCTAGTGCGGCTCGGGGCAGGGGTGAGGTAATCGATGACTAGTATGTCCATAAGGTCATTGGTGATCTTGAACATCTTGGTCAGCTGGGCTTTGATCCGTCATGACTAATGTCTCCCACCCCAAATGTTGGATCATGGAGGATACGCTGCTGGTGTTGTGGTAACGGTTCGTCACACATCTTGCAGCTCTTCTCTGGACCATCTCGAGCTTGCATTTAAGGTGCTTGGTATAAGGGTTCCAGACGGTGGAGCAATATTCAAGGCCTGGTCGCACGAATGACATGTAGGCTTTGCTCTTGACCTGTTCGTTGCTGATGCGCAGGTTGCGTCGAAGGAAGCCGAGTGCTTAATTTATCAATTACTTCTATTCACTAATTATAATACGATGCACGACTATCTGTGCGAAAAAGCATATAGATTATATATCTACATTGTAGATTCCTTTTTACTTAAATAATTAGATCTATGTTTTGGGCAGACTTAAATATAATTATTAAAATGTTATCGATAATCAGCCTCTTTCAAATAGAAATTTAAAAGACCCTGCGATAACATAGTTCATGTTAGACTAGATGCTTGCATTTGAAATAAATTTTAAATATTTCGAATCCGTATTGAAATGCAATTTTAATTAGACAGTAGTTGTATTAGTTAAATAATTAATTAGGATATCTTTAAAGTTGCCACTGTATAAACACGTATATATGTAGTACAGCTAAAATATTGAGAAAATAAACTTATTCTTATTATAAGTAAAACTCTTTCAAGTAGTATTAGACTTTAATAAATAAGTTCTCTTCAGAACAGAAATAAAGTGTTAAAATCATACAAAATACATAAAGTGTTGAAAGCATTCAAAATACATTATCCCGGGCATTGAGAATGACGATATGTTAAAAGGGAAATAAATTAATTCAACAGATATGTCTTACAGACACGCAGATTTTAAAGAAATTTGAAAATAAAAAAATCACTGACAAAATTATAAGTGATCATATGGGGTCAAATTATACATTTATTTATTTCATCTGTTAAACGGAAAAAGGATATTTATATTGCCGAATAGTAACTTGCACCTAGACAGTGACGCGGTTATCATGTATACATTCAAAGACATGTACTCAATAAATTTGAAACATACATGTATAATTAATTCGAACTCCTATGGTAAATACAGTAAACACTCGATAAAATGACATAAATTTGTCGTTTAAAAATAAGAACTCAGTCATAAAACACAGTATAATTTTTCGGTAACAAATATGTTGGTCATTTACATCCGATAACCATTGGCATGATGCACGAGAACAAAACATGACATTTACCGGAAGTAAACCTGATTACAACCCCATTGAAATTATGATCATGATAGACTTTCAATACAAAGACTCAGTCTTAAACTCGCTACATTTTATATTGAAATCGAGGACTTGGTGCGAAATGACTGTACTCCAAAACCGAGGAGCTGCACGTATACAATCGGAACACCTCGGGCAAGTTCAATAAGTCTTTCTTACGGAGTTGCCAGAGAACTATTGACACATGTACAACCTTTTCTCATCAAGTACTCAATATCTGACTTAAAAAAACAGCACACGAGTTCAAAACCAACATTTGTATCACGAATTGACAACCGACATACTTTCCATAATTCACTTCAGAACTTTGTAAAGACATCTATTTTTAGTTAGTAGTAACCATGGCAGAACACATGCGTGTAATTATCAACCAGGATAAAACCAAACAATACAAATGCAACTAAGGATTTAAGTCCGGGTTTTAAGCATATATCTGCCTTAATAAGTCTGCAATTAAACACTCAAACTCAGTGGAGTGTCCCTCACGATTTCGGGTATTATTACAATGTTACAATATTGTTGTTACAATGAGCCATATACGCTTCCGTATTGAAAATAGACCATTCTCAGTTCTTCAAGTTAGTTGGAACGATATTCATTAGATAATTAACGAGATTTAAAGCTCAAGGCAGTAGAGCTTTAAAAGCTTTCATCAAAATAAATCCATACTACGATACGTGTATCAGATAGCAAACTAATCAAAGGCTCGTGATATATCAGAAATTCTGTGATCTCAAAATTAAACTGAAACCAACTCCAAGCTTCTAATAATCGTGTTTTTATTTATCACATATATTGATTTTGTATCGTCTTATGAAGAATCAGGAATGTTGTTCTTTTTTATTGCAATACAATGTCGTCTGCCAGGTGATTTATTTTCAGTAAATTTTGTAGCAGTCAATTAAGAGGAAATTGTCCGCCAATACGTCAACCTGACCCATTTTTCTCCCTCTTAGTGCCGGAAAACGACGACAGACAGTTTTGTCATTCTTTTTTTAACTAAACAGTAATTTTTTTTAAAACCGAAACTATTACCCAATGCAGGTATATAAAGGATTGATAGTGAATTAATACCATTAGAATATTGTGCTTTAGACAAAAAAAGAATTGATTATGCATATGGAAAATTAAGTATATAAGTCAATTACAAATGCATCTAATTAAGTCCCTGAGTATCAAA